GATCGATTTATAACAAGACGCCCCCAGCCATAGCGAGATACGCAAATCTCAATTAGAATTCAGACAAAATAAAAATTAGAACTGGCACAGTGTGTTAAGACAGGGATTGATCATCACAGTAGACAGCTCAATTAGACTTGTCAATATGGAAGTAGTAGAGTAGACTTGTCAATATAGAACTAGTGGAGTAGACTTGTCAATATGGAAGAAGTGAAGTAGACTGGTCAATATGGAGGTAGTAGAGTAGACTTGTCAATATGGAACTAGGGGAGTAGACTTGTCAATATGGAAGTAGTGGAGTAGACTTGTCAATATGGAAGTAGTGGAGTAGACTTGTCAATATGGAAGTGGAGAAGACTTGTCAATATGGAAGTGGAGAAGACTTGTCAATATGGAAGTAGTGGAGTAGACTTGTCAATATGGAAGTAGTGGAGTAGACTTGTCAATATGGAAGTAGTGGAGTAGACTTGTCAAATATACTGGTTCACATTTCTACACGAGTACAAGCATCAAGTCAGCTTGTTCTGAGTATATCGGTATCTGATGTAGAAGATTTGAGGGCTATGACCACAGGTTGTAACAACAGTTGAACTCTACTTCCTCTGCCTGAGAATACGTCTGGTGAATTAGTGTTACCTCCTTGTCATTTTTCTCCAATCAAATTTAATCAACGTAACATGTTAGACGTAAAACATTTGGAACGGCCGATGAAATATTCGTTCTCCTAAAATATATTTTTGGACGTGGGATATAAAATTGTTAGACATAAAAGTTTCGTGAACGAATGCTAATAATCGGCCAGCCGTACACGATAAAATCATCACCGAGTATGTAAAAAGCTGCATGTTTTCGTAAACAAATTTCCATCTGCAGAAAAAATACGCGGCATTTGTCTTCGCCCGTGAGATATAAATGTGACAATTTTATGTGACAAGATATTAGGTCCGTGGTCGGCTGAGATGTCGGCCGCGTCGGTTTGACAAGTTGAGTGACGTCAGATTTCACGCGACTGGCGCAAAAATGAACAAAATGATATCCCGTTTTTTTTTTTTTTTTTTTGTGAGAGGAAAGGGGAAATAATTGATAAAGACAGCAGCCGCCCCTTGATGTTGTGTATACAGTATTTGTTTTGATAAAGACAGGCACTGCTGTCTGCTTTTTTATTTACAATGGCAGCATGTGATGTCTGCTGTTGTGTTTATGATGTCAGCAAAAGCCGTCTACTTCTGTTCATGCCACCTTCAAATCCAGACCGGCTAGCTAGAATAAGAATGTATGCTGGCAGCGTACGACTAGTGCTCGATCTGCAGCATACACAGAACCGAATGCTTCAAGCTTTTATGTCTTGTCATGGTGGTCAGTGATGAATGTGCGTTAAATCTACAGTTTTATAATATTTCTACTGGTCTCTATTTAGCGATGTCTGCTCTGCATGATATCTAACCACAACACACTGACCAACCACACAAAATGCAGCAGACACGGACTGGTTTAATACAGGGTTGGACCACAACACACTGACCAACCACACAAAATGTAGCAGACACGTCCTGGTTTAATACAGGGTTGGACCACAATACACTGACCAACCACACAAAATGCAGCAGACACGTCCTGGTTTAATACAGGGTTGGACCACAACACACTGACCAACCACACAAAATGCAGCAGACACGTCCTGGTTTAATACAGGGTTGGACCACAACACACTGACCAACCACACAAAATGTAGCAGACACGTCCTGGTTTAATACAGGGTTGGACCACAACACACTGACCAACCACACAAAATGCAGCAGACACGTCCTGGTTTAATACAGGGTTGGACCACAACACACTGACCAACCACACAAAATGCAGCAGACACGTCCTGGTTTAATACAGGGTTGGACCACAATACACTGACCAACCACACAAAATGCAGCAGACACGTCCTGGTTTAATACAGGGTTGGAATACAATACACTGACCAACCACACAAAATGCAGCAGACACGTCCTGGTTTAATACAGGGTTGGACCACAATACACTGACCAACCACACAAAATGCAGCAGACACGTCCTGGTTTAATACAGGGTTGGACCACAATACACTGACCAACCACACAAAATGTAGCAGACACGTCCTGGTTTAATACAGGGTTGGACCACAACACACTGACCAACCACACAAAATGTAGCAGACACGTCCTGGTTTAATACAGGGTTGGACCACAACACACTGACCAACCACACAAAATGTAGCAGACACGTCCTGGTTTAATACAGGGTTGGACCACAACACACTGACCAACCACACAAAATGTAGCAGGCATGTCCTGGTTTAATACAGGGTTGGACCACAATACACTGACCAACCACACAAAATGTAGTAGGCATGTTCTGGTTTAACGCATGGTTTGAATGTTGAATGTTAAATGCGTCCTACCCAAACTAAGACAAGGAAACCACGTGATCACAAAAACACTACAAACTTCTACAGAACCTATCAACCACCGTCTCAAAGTTTAGAATTCAGCAGTAAAAATATCATCCCCAAGTACCAACGGACTATTACCGTATCGATTCCGCTTTGGTTAAATAAACACCATTCGGCCTCCGGGGAGCCAAATTTTCATTCGTAATTCGATTACTTTTCTAGATCAACACACCACATTCTTACAGAGACGATCTCGCCAGAGGAACGGTATAATGTATAAGGTAAGATCACTGGAAGATACAGGACAGAGAGGGTTCTCTTCCTCCTCTAAGAAAAATTAAAGTCATTGTCTAGAATAGTAGGTTTTCTATTGCTATGTTTGAAGAGAGCTGTACTTGTATGGCAAGCTGTTATTGTTGGGTTGGATGTAGGCCTATATAATATTATATATATATATACATATATATATATACATATATATATATGTATATATATATATATATATATATATATATATATATATATATATATATATATATATATATATATATATGTAATTAAATATTTCTCACACAAGTAATTTAAACACATACACATACAATTATATGTAAATCGCATGTAATGGCAGAAAAATTCACATCTGTGTAATTCCTGCTAGATTACGTTCGGAACATTTCGTCAGGTTAACACACCTGAGACGCAGCTAATATTTTGTTTTAAATTTGCTTCATTAATTATCTCTTTCATCTACCTCACATCTCCCCACCCCTTCACCTTATGATTAACTCCCCCCCCCCCGCTACTCACTGTTTGTTGTTATAGATTATTTTCTCAGCCTGCCAGCTGTACACGTGGTAGATGCTGTTGAATGTCAACATACAATGACATGGTGAGACAGTGTATGACAATTATATTTGACATTTGACTAGGACTGACAATGGCAGTGCCCAGGTTTATATACACGGGTATTGATGTGTAGATGGGGAAATGGGGTGGGCGATGGGGGTGGGGGTGGGGAAGCATAAAAAAGGTTGGGGAGGGTGGGAACAGTAGTAGGCGGAGAGACGGAGAAGGGGGATAGTGGGACGGACAGGGGAGGGTGGGGACCAGCCTGGCGATCGGTGGGCGGGGGGGGGGGGGGGTCTAGCGAGATAAGGATGATTTGAGGTGGGAGAATGAAGACTCAAAGACGTTCAGCAGTGTTTGCCTGTATGTGGGTTACACTGCTAAAGGTCACTGGTTCAGTTGACAGTGTGTCGTCTGTTGTAACTGTATGTAGGTCAAGGTGATGCTTACAACCTCCTTTGTCTTCACAAGGATGGGTCGATTCCTTGCGGAGCAGCTTACTTCAGTACGTCAATATTAACTTATACAGGCAGCTTACTTCAGTACTCCAATATTAACTTATACAAGCAACTTACTCCAGTACGCCAATATTAAGCTATACACACAACATAATCAAAGTTAAAAAAAAAAGAAATAATTGAAAAAGAAAGCAAAAAAAAAAATAATAATTAAAATAATACTTGACATTTTTCACAAACAAAAATGCAAAACATATAATGATTTACATTAAAGCTAACGTTACGTAACATATAGTTAAAGTAACGTCATATACATAACACTGGTACACGTAGGTTATCTTAATAACAATGTAAGATTTCAAGGTAAAAATTTGAGATCCATGTGTATGAAATAAATTATGTTGTAAAATATATTGGCAGACAGTGGTATAATATGAAAGTGTTGGTAACGACAAGCAAACTAAGGATTGTACAGCAGTGATACATGAGCTTTAAGTTAGTTGTGCACAGCTATATACAAGTGTGATACAGTTCTACATAATAGCAATCAAATACGATCTCAAGCAGAAAAAAATAAATGTATAAAATTTTTTTAATAATTTTAAATGAGCAATTAAGGAAATCATTCTGTTAAAAGTTCATCGAACTCTTCATGTTTGACTTTTGTACGATAAAATGGGATCGATACCACTCAGAGAAAATGGCCGACAGTTTGTTTAGACTTGTATCTTTTAATCAGGTTTAACGATGAAGCAAGTAGTACAAAAATTCAGTCTGCTCAGAACAAAATGTGTGTGCATGATTGTAATGTTTTAACTTGTCCAAGATTTTAGTGATCTACACTACTCTGTTTTGGTTGTCCGAAATAAAAAAAAAATTTTAATTTGTCGTGTCACTGTATACCGAAAACATAAATTTAGGCTTTATGGTTTTTTAATTCTAACTTTATAATAGTGGTTTCGAAAAATGTTTTTGATTGGGTTGTTAGAAATGGTATAGCCAGCAAGATTTGATGTGAGTTAGATTTGTCATTTTTCCTAATTTCTAAAAGCCAAGAAAATAAATTATAAATATTTTGCAATATGTAATACACTCATTGTTTAGATTCTTTGCATTGAGGTGTGTTGTTTAAATGTTCTAAAATTTTGACTGTTGGCGACGTGGTAAAAATAAAATATTTTTCTTTAGAATTAAAAATAATTGAAGGAAAACTTGAAATGAAAAGTACTTTAAATAAAAAAAAAATTGTAGTAAATCAAAACATGAAACTAATTCACCTCTGCTGATGTTAAGCATTTCTGAAAGAAAATGGTTAAAAAAGCAGGTAACTATATGTGCTCTCGTTTAGAACAAACTTGGACGAGAAATGACGAGATCACGGCTAGACAAACAGTTATGCATGCTCAACTTACTGGAGATTGCTGGCAGTGAAGCGAAAAAAATAAAAAAATAAAAAACAGTGGCATGCCTTATCAAATTCATCCCAACTCAAGTCATGCTAAACTTTTATCTGACACTATCATTTCTCTTAGACGTAAGTAAATGGTGAGTTTAAAAGAAAATTTGTGCAATGGAATCTAAAGTAACTGAGATAAGGTTTATACGAAAAACATGCACGGGCTTCATAAAGCACAGTTACTGCTGTTGGTTATGGTTTGTTTATATTTGGCGTAGTTGTACAAGATAGAGGCCTACAGTATAGACGTGTGTTCTGATGGGTTTTTTTATATGTGGGGTAGTTGTACAAGATAGAGGCCTACAGTATAGACGTGTGTTCTGATGGGTTTTTTTATATGTGGGGTAGTTGTACAAGATAGAGGCCTACAGTATAGACGTGTGTTCTGATGGGTTTTTTTATATGTGGGGTAGTTGTACAAGATAGAGGCCTACAATAGAGAAGTGTGCAGTGATGGTTTGTTTATATTGGGGTAATCTGTCAAGAAAGAAGCCTACAATATAGATTTGTGTATTGATTGCTTGTTTATAATAGGGATGATCTAAGAATGCTTTAAAAATACCTACTGCATTCATATGTCGTAGTTAGTACTGCTTCATATTTACCAAAAATTGAAATAGTTATACGTTTTATTTAATTAATAAATAGTTTAACCCATAACTGTATTCAATAGTGTCGCTCTTTAAATTAGATATAATTAAACCAGATTTAGGCACAGTCGATTAATGATGTTTTCAAAGTTTTTGTGTTGGATTGTTTCGTCTAGTTCTAGCTATTGATGTAAAAGTCACTGTAATCGGCCCTGCATTCAACTACACCCCACCCCACCCCCACACCTACATTTGATCATGTACAAATAGTAAAACACAACCCGCGCATCTGACTTGAAAAACTAAATGTGAGTAAATATCTCATTTATGGTTTTAAGAAACCCGAATAAAGTGGTGTGTATAAAAAGGGTAACAGATAATGTATATTGAAAAGATAATAGGAAATATTATGTTGAAAAGTGTATAGGAAAATATGTATTGTAAAAAGTGTACTAGCAAATGTATATTGAAAAGTTGAAAATTGTATAAGAAAATATGTATTGTACAAAGTGTAATAGAAATTGTATGTTGATAAGTGTATAGTAAAATTTGTATTGTAAAAAGTGTATAAACATAACAAAAGTATGCAATATACACATATCTTCAAAATTTTTGAAACGTCAAGATGTTTAAAATTCCATTTTTTTTTTTGTTTGTTTGTTAAAAACAAAATGTCCGACTCGACTCAAACATGCTGGGTAAACAGTGGTTGTCATGGTAACCAAAGAAAATCAACAGAAAAACGTGTCAAAAAACAATCGGCAAACAAAACACGTTGCTATGTGCAGCGAGGCGCCCTGACGGCACTACACACTAGGAGCACACTCTACACACTAGAACACACATGGGGTCACGCGGGTGTCTAGCTAGGGTCACACTGGTTTCGTGGTCACATAGAAAACTAAAAATAGCTCTAGGGGGGTGGGGGCTCCTTAAGGCATACAATCTACAGTATTTGTTATTCAACTTAATAGCTGCAACAGCTTTGATATTTTGTGTAGACCGATTTGTTTCGTTATGTCGCTTGCTTTTTAATTTTTATTCAAAGTAGCTTTGTTAGAGTCTTAACGAACGGTTTGTTTCTTTGTAGATTGCATTTTCGGGCTCTTTGTTTCTAATGAGCGCCTTAGGAACGCTTTGTATATTTCTGGTGATGAAGATTTTCTCTGGGGTGACTGACGTCATTTGGCAAGTTGACTTAGGCAGCGAATATCCAAAGATTCCTAATCTTCAGGTAGTGAAAGGGGATCTAACTAGCTAGTTTTAGCTTGCTTTTATATTCCCTGCATCGCTAGGGAACTTCTTTTAAACACACAACTGGCATTTTGAATTATTAAACACGACACGCTTGCAAAGAGTCCACTTAGTTTTTGATTCGTGTTGTAATTATTGTAACTTTGGCTTTTACCAATATTTGCATTGTAACGTTTACATCCATGTTGTTCATCTTCAAGCACAACTGATTCGTTTTAAGTGACGTTTTCATTGAATTTATTTACAGCTGTTTGTATTTTTTTTTAATAATCGTTCCCTTGAAATCCAAATGTCGTAGTTTTAAAATATGGATCTGATATAGACTCATAAGTTATCTAATTAAACTAATCTTCAGCGTTTTAGTTATGCGGCTGCTGTAGTACGATCACGTTAGTTTGGTGATTGGTGGTCACCTCTGGTTCTAGATTATATAGGGAGTTTCGTTATACTGCAGACGTTTTTTTATATTTCATTCGTTATACTAAACAAGTTATATGCTTTTTTCGTCATACGGACCTTCGATACAAAATATTTTTCGAGAATCAGATCGCATGATTCTGATATAAGCCATTAGACAACGTGAGTTATGCAAATTATTAACGTGTATACTTGTTTCGTTATACGATGCAAATATGTAGCTTGTATGCCTTATGAAAGTTGACCATAAAGTAAGAACAAGGACGGCTAGAGCTAAACTAAATGACAAATTTCAAATCTAAAAACAAAACAAGGTCGCATAGATACCTTGAAAATTGGCCTCATTAGGAAATTTTCTTTCACTGGCAGGAGTCTGGAAGGAAAGACATTAAAATGATTGAATACAACACAAAGATTTGGCTGGTTTGTATTGATTGGGTAGTTGCTGGTGAGTATGTGTTGGGTGGTGATGATGTGAATTGTTTAATTTGTTGCTGATGTGAATTGGTAGTGGTGGTGATGATGTCCATTGGTTGGTTTGTTGCTGATGTGGGGCGGCTGTGGTGAAGCTGACGTGCAAACGACGAAACAAACTAATTATTAAGTAAAGAAGAATTAAGTAAACACTCTTTAATATTAAGGAACAAGAGAGTTTTGGTTTTTTCTAGCCACAGATTTTCTTGTTTGTTGTGGTCAAAGAGACTGATAAACTCTACTTCACCTGTCGCATGAATTGTTAGGACTGCGATGGCACTATACATTAAAAGCTTGTTGTTAGTGTAGTCAGTGAAGCGAGGAGAGGTCTACACATATGTTGGTTGTGTTCGTTAGACATGTTGGTAATTCACGTTTTAATAGTTGTCACGTGCGAACATAGTTCGTAGTGTCGACAAACCAGAGGCGTAGCGAGGAGGGGGGAACATATGTCCCCGGGCGCCGACCTTAGGGGGGCGCCAAATTGAAAGTTTGAAGGGGGGCTGCAAATGAAAACTTCGAGAGAGGGGTGCAAATCGAAAGTTTGAAGGGGGGGGGGTGCAAATGAAAAGTTCGAGGGTGGGGGGGTGCAAATCGAAAGTTTGTCCCCGGGCGCCGGGAGGGGTCGCTACGCCTCTGCGACAAAAACCCTTTTATTTGAGTGAATCAGCCATCGCACCATTAGATTTGGCGGCGTGAATCAGCCATAACACCATTTAATTTAGCGGAGTAAATCAGCCATCTAACGAAAGCCATACCTGAGCTGAAATTCGGTGAGTTGTAGGCAGATACAAAAAATACAGGTAGACGAAGGGGCTACTTACTTGGCCATCTCGCTCAGCTGTAGTTTACCATCCTTGTTTCTGTCAAATAGCTGAAGCTGAAAAATCAAACAAGCAAGTGGGTGAATCAGATCTCTATCCCAACCACCGACAACATTGTACATCATTGAAACATTAGTCGAACGAAAGTCAAACTAAGTGCACGTATACTAAATATCAATGTTCATTATTTTTATTTTCATACTTGTTTATATACCCATTAGACTTCGTTGTCTTAAGGTCAGATATTTGAAACCTTAGTATGTGAATCTTGCCCAATATAGCTTTCATTAAAACACCATAGTATTTATTACCCTCAAATTTTAAACCACTCACCATAGTGATCCTGACCCTCACATATTTAAACCACTCACCATAGTGACCTGACCCTCGTAAATTTAAACCACTCACCATGGTGACCCTGTGACCTTGACCCTCACATATTTAAACCACTCACCATAGTGACCGTGACCCTCACATATTTAAACCACTCACCATAGTGACCCTGACCCTCACATATTTAAACCACTCACCCTAGTGACCGTGACCCTCACATATTTAAACCACTCACCATAGTGACCCTGTGATCCTCCTATTATAAACCACTCACCCTAGTGACCCTGACCCTGACCCTCACATATATAAACCACTCACCATAGTGACCCTGACCCTCACATATTTAAACCACTCACCCTAGTGACCCTGACCCTCACATATATAAACCACTCACCATAGTGACCCTGACCCTCACATATATAAACCACTCACCATAGTGACCCTGACCCTCACATATTTAAACCACTCACCCTAGTGACCCTGACCCTCACATATATAAACCACTCACCATAGTGACCCTGTGACCCTGACATAAACCACTCACCATAGTGACCCTTACCCTCACATATTTAAACCACTCACCATAGTGACCCTGACCCTCACATATATAAACCACTCACCATAGTGACCCTGTGACCCTGACATAAACCACTCACCATAGTGACCCTTACCCTCACATATTTAAACCACTCACCATAGTGTCAGCGTATGTTATCAGTTGCTCTTCCGTGACGCTACGCTCGAACGATTTCAGGAGATCTTTCAAGAAATGCTGTGGAAAAAAAAAACATGACATTTTACGATGAAAATAAAATCAATGACTTCTCGTGTGATTACATAATGACAACACTGAAGTAATACAAAAAACTACTCTTCTTCTTCGTTCTTAATTTTTAGTGTTGGAAGGGATCGTGCCTTATCTGCCAGAGGGTTTGAACTCGAGACTTTTTCGAATTTATCAACCGTTAGTTTTTGCCGACTCGACCACGCCTCCATCACAATTAAGGATACGTGTCAACTGGTTAAGCGCCATTGAGGCCATTGACTCCGATTTCAGCCTGCTTTTCTTTTTGGATTTGCTTCCATAGCCTTTGTCCAACCAAGAACAAACTACAAGGCAGCAGATTTTGGAGTTGTCTCTCCTAGAAAGTGGCTGTCCCCAGCTAATGAGCCTCATCTGCCCGAGGGTTCGAACTCGAGACTTTTCGGTTTAGCAACCATGAGCTTTACACTAATAAAAAGCTTCTAAAAGTAACAGGTATTTCATTAACAAACCCCCTGAAACAGAAAACGTGAGACAATAATAAACTGTATACACTCAAATAACGTTGACAGCGGGATGACAAATGAATAGAATAAAAAGAAATAAAATTCAGTTGCGCAACATTCTGAAAGCTATTTGATAAAGTTTTTTGTTCTAGTTTTTCAACCAGCCCAGGCATCAGGTGATACTTTTGTTTGCGGAAGTTATTGAGACATTTCTTGTTATCGCATAGGTTCGTCCTTTAATTAATTTCAAGAAATATTTCAGTTATCAAAGTTGGAAGATGTGTAAAACATTGCCATAAAATGACGCCATCCTTTTCTCCAGACAACATAATTCAAAATGGCAGTTTTATCTTTGACTACATTTAGAACGTTTTAAATCGAGTTTGACACTGATCTATACCCACCCACTACTCATCCAATCGATACTCACCTTCAACTCATCAAATCGATACCCACCTTCAACGTATTAAATCGATACCCACCTTTCACTCATCAAGTAGATACCCTCAACTCATCAAGTCGATACCCTCAACTCATCAAATCTATACTTTCAACTCATCTCTTCAACTCATCAAATCGATACCCACCTTCAAAGTAGTATATTAGGTCACTTTTGGGTCGTATCCGCAGGCGCAGGCGCTGGGTGAGCAGGAGCAGGAGCAGGAGCAGGAACAAAGGCTATATAGGAAAATACTCCCTGCCTGGGTGAGCCGCAGGGACAATGACATATAACAAAATACTCACCCTCCAGGCGCAGCCTGCCGCAGCCTGGGACAACGAGATATAGTAAAATACTCCCTGGGTGAGCAGGAGGTACACCGACATATAGTAAAATACTCACCCACCTGGGTGAGGGTGGGTGAGCAGGATGTACAATGAGATATAGTAAAATACTCACCCACCTGGGTGAGCAGGTGGGTGAGGGTGGGTGAGCAGGATGTACAACGAGATATAGTAAAATACTCACCCACCCTAGGGTGGGTGAGCAGGATGGGGAGTAGGTCAGTAGGTCACCACCGGTGACCTTGTGACGTAATTAGTAACATTATGACGTAATCATTGACCTAGTTACGTAAATTTAATGCGTTTTTTAATTAGTTTTAATGAGTTTTTTAAATTTTAATTAATTTTTGACCTAGTTACGTAATTTTATTGTTTTTTAATTAATTTGATTTTAATTACTTTGTTTGTGTTTTGTTTGTTTATTTTTAATAAGTTTAATTAATTCGATTTTTTATTTATTTTGTATTTGTTAATTATTTTTATTTTGTATCTAGTTACGTAATTTTATTTTTAATAAGTTTAATTAATTTGATTTTTATTTATTTTGTATCTAGTTACGTAATTTGATTATTTGTTTATTTGTTTATTTTGTTTTGTAATTTTTATTGACGAGTTACGTAATTTGATTATTTGTTTACTTTTTAATTATTTTTATTTTGTTTATTTTTAATTTTATTTTATTTTATAATTAGTTAAATTATTATTAACTAGTTACGTAATTTGATTTTAATTACTTTTGTTTAATTTATTTATTTGATATATTTCTTTTCTTTGTTGTTTAATTTGTTGGTTTGTTTATTTGGTTGTATGTATGTTTTAAATAAAAGACTAACACTATCATGTACTAGAACAGTCTTTGTATACCAGCCTTTAACCAGACATGTAACATCTGTTACTTATCGAGCCGGGATCCTTTGTTGACACGCGCTGAGCGTTTTTAATGGGTATTGTATCGATCGCAGCCGCTGGGCCATCAAATGTTGTCCCATATAATTAAATTGGTTATGCTTCACCGATTTTATGCGTTGTTCGCCGACCCGATCACAGCAGGGGTTCCGCGTTTAATTGAAAGAGCTAAGTGGTTAACCACAAAGCCAGCGTTAAGTGTGGGAACACCTGTTACCATGACACGCGCCTCGTAGTGATTAATGGGTTTTATATTGATCCCACCCACGGGCCATCACAGCATGATGTCCCACCTAATTAAATTTTGTTATGCTTCACCGAGTTTCCCCGATCGATTTGACGGGTCATGATAATTAACGCAAAACCAGCGTTAAGTGTGGCGACAGATGTTACCAAGCGGGTGGTGGTGGTGGTGGTGGTGGTGGTGGTGGTAAATTTGCTTAAGATTATAAACTTCAAGTTTTAAAAATCTAATTTTTTAAATTTTTAAATTTTTTAAATTATTATTTTTAAATTTTATTTTTAATTGTTGTTTACTTGTTGGTTAATTTAATTACTTTGTATAATTTATTTGTTTGAAATTCATTTTAATTAGTTTGCTTTTAATTTCTTTGTTGTACGCCGTTTAAAATAAAAGACTAACACTAGCGTGTACTAGAAAGTGTCATTGTGTATAACATCCATTTAACCACAGCTGTTACTTATTAGTGACAGCTTGTACTTATCGATCCGCCCGGGATCCTCCCCGGCGCTCCCCGTGGTTGCTTAATAGCGGGCTCACTGAAGCGATCACAACAGGTAATTAATCGAAGCCATTAAGTCCCTCTCCGCGTTAAGTGTGGCGACAGCTGGTGCTGTAATTAGTCACGGCTCTCGGCTTTTTTCATTAGACTACAGCTGTACATGAACTATGTTCACATTTCGTACGCCCGGTCATTCTTTGATCAAATTAAAAAATTTTGTTTCCACATGTCCTGCGAACCGTCCCTTGCTATGTATGAAAGATTAATGGTTGTAACTATTCGCTTATAGCGAGGGTCAGCGAAAACAAAAATATATTTAAGGGTCGGAATTTTCTTTCAACCACCGTTAAGTCAGGTTTTGAGACGAAACGAAGTCTCGGTAGGTTCGTGTTTTTTAATGGGCGACAGGGCGACTTGGTGCGTTGGTACGTAGGTATGCGGGGGTAGACATGTTTTTTTACAAGTCTGGAAAAGTAATTAAGTTTTTTATGACCGTTCCGATTTTCTTTTGATCTAACCACCATTTGACCACCCTGAGCCAGATAAATTCAACAATTGTCGCAGCGGGGTTTATTTTAAGTGCACCCCGTGCACGCTTGTTTACATTTTAAAAGACGTGTCGCGTGTCTTCCCCTTACGGCTTCCCTAATAGAGAAACGAGAGGAAAGACAACTGTTCTAAAATTAGAACAGCCTTGTCTACAGACACGAGTATCGTCCCTTGTGAAAAAATTCGCGTCAGAATCCTTAACTAAACAGTCAATTTCTTTAAAAAGTTAAAAAATAATTTAGGAAGACAAGGGTTAACAAAATATATATCTTAGTCTTGCAGCAGATTACCTTCCCATGTTCGCTTTAGTATTACAGTTTTCATCAATCTTCTTTTTGACTTGAACTTCTTTAATTTTTAAGAAAGTTTACTTATACATAATACATTACGTCTAATGACAATTTTTTATTTTTTTATTTTTACCACTCAATGTATTTTCTTTTTCTATATCTTACATTGTCATCTTAATTTTTTGATCACCTTAGGTGGTGGTAAGGTGGTAAGGTGGTGGTAAGGTGGTGGTAAGGTGGTGGTAAATTTGCTTAAGATTATAAACTTCAAGTTTTAAAAATCAACAACGTTAAAGTACGTCGTCAAAAAAGACAATGAACCTAGAAGGAAGACGAATATATATCTTAGTCTTGCAGCAGCTTACCTTCCCATGTTCACTTTAGTATTACAGTTTTCATCAAACTTCTTTTTGACTTGAACTTCGTTAATTTTTAAGAAAGTTTACTTATACATAATACATTACGTCTAAGGACAATTTTTTATTTTTACCACTCAATGTATTTTCTTTTTCTATATCTTACATTGTCATCTTAATTTTTGATCACCTTAGTAAAAATTTGCTTAAGATTATAAACTTCAAGTTTTAAAAAACAACAACGTTATAGTACGTCGTGTCAAATGACACACCGTTTAAAATGTCTACATTTAAAGTTCACCAAAATAATGACGTAAAAACTAAATATGATATGACGTTAGCATACATATCATTCAATCTAATCACTCTAAAGTACAAATCAATAATTTTTATTGATTAAGGGGCTGGGTGAGTTATTTTTATTCGGGTGCCCAGGGAAGGTTTGGAGTTGGTTGGGACAGATTTTATACACGAGTCGGTGACGTTTTCACCGAGGCAGGGTTCGAATCTAGACCATGCATGTTTTGGAATTGTTAGGGAGAGTTAAACTAAGGTCGGTGAAGTTTTCACCGAGGTTGGTTTTGAACTCGGAACATGCATGTTTTGGAATCGGTAGGTGTAGAGTCCATACTAGGGTCGGGGAGTTTTGCTAACACTGAGCCAGGTTGCAAAGTTGGCACATGCATGTTTAGGAATTGATGGTAGCCGAGTTCATACTAGTGTCGGTGAAGGTTGGTTTTGATCTCGGAACATGTATGTTTTGAAATTGTTGGTAACCGAGTTCATACTAGGGTCAGGGGAGTTTTTGTTAACACCGAGGCAGGTTGCAAAGTTGGTACATGCATGTTTAGGAATTGTTGGTAGCCGAGTTCATACTAGTGTCGGTGAAGGTTGGTTTTGAACTCGGAGCATGCATGTTTTGAAATTGTTGGTAACCGAGTTCAGACTAGGGACGGGGGTGTTTTCACCGAGGCAGGTTACAAAGTTCGTATATGCATCATTGGAATTGTTAGGTAGAGTTAAACTAAGGTCGGTGAAGTTTTCACCGAGGTAGGTTACAAAGTTGGTACATGGATGTTTAGGAATTGATGGCAGTCGAGTTCATACTAGGGTCGGGGAATTTTGTTAGCACTGAGGCAGGTTGGAAAGTTGTTACATGCATGTTTGGGAATTGTTGGTAGCCGAGTTCATACTAGTGTCGGTGAAGGTTGGTTTTGAACTCGGAACATGCATGTTTTGGAATCGGTAGGTGTAGAGTCCATACTAAGGTCGGTGAAGTTTTCACCGATGGTGGTTTCAAAGTTAGTACAGGCATGTTTTGGAAGTGTTAGGGGCCGAGTTCATAGTAGTGTCGGTGAAGGTTGGTTTTGAACTCGGAACATGCATGTTTTGAAATTGTTGGTAACCGAGTTCATACTAGGGACGGGGGCGAGGGCGGCGGACAAAATTGTCGATGTAGGTAGGGTGCAAGAGATATTCAACGAGGAGTGGTGTCTACAAGTTATGTATCCCAGTCTGTTGGAGTGGTTTCTAGGGGGTTGTGATATTAGTTGAATAAATATTTGTCTGTAGGATTGTCATACAGCCTTTGTCTCTTAAATGGAATAGGTATAGTGCGGGTAGTAGTAGTAGTACGGTCTGTTTATCTAACGGTTGGTATTGAGGTTAGTGTGATGACGCAAGGTTGGATGGGAGAAGGGGAACGGGGTTGCGGACAAAGGGAAGGGGAAGGGCGAATAGTGATAAAAATAACTCACCCAGCCCCTTAATCAATAAAAATTATTGATTTGTACTTTAGAGTGATTAGATTGAATGATATGTATGCTAACGTCATATCATATTTAGTTTTTACGTCATTATTTTGGTGAACTTTAAATGTAGACATTTTAAACGGTGTGTCATTTGACACGACGTACTATAACGTTGTTGTTTTTTAAAACTTGAAGTTTATAATCTTAAGCAAATTTTTACTAAGGTGATCAAAAATTAAGATGACAATGTAAGATATAGAAAAAGAAAATACATTGAGTGGTAAAAATAAAAAATTGTCCTTAGACGTAATGTATTATGTATAAGTAAACTTTCTTAAAAATTAACGAAGTTCAAGTCAAAAAGAAGTTTGATGAAAACTGTAATACTAAAGTGAACATGGGAAGGTAAGCTGCTGCAAGACTAAGATATATATTCGTCTTCCTTCTAGGTTCATTGTCTTTTTTGACGACGTACTATAACGTTGTTGATTTTTAAAACTTGAAGTTTATAATCTTAAGCAAATTTACCACCACCTTACCACCACCTTACCACCTTACCACCACCTAAGGTGATCAAAAAATTAAGATGACAATGTAAGATATAGAAAAAGAAAATACATTGAGTGGTAAAAATAAAAAAATAAAAAATTGTCATTAGACGTAATGTATTATGTATAAGTAAACTTTCTTAAAAATTAAAGAAGTTCAAGTCAAAAAGAAGATTGATGAAAACTGTAATACTAAAGCGAACATGGGAAGGTAATCTGCTGCAAGACTAAGATATATATTTTGTTAACCCTTGTCTTCCTAAATTATTTTTTAACTTTTTAAAGAAATTGACTGTTTAGTTAAGGATTCTGACGCGAATTTTTTCACAAGGGACGATACTCGTGTCTGTAGACAAGGCTGTTCTAATTTTAGAACAGTTGTCTTTCCTCTCGTTTCTCTATTAGGGAAGCCGTAAGGGGAAGACACGCGACACGTCTTTTAAAATGTAAACAAGCGTGCACGGGGTGCACTTAAAATAAACCCCGCTGCGACAATTGTTAAATTTATCTGGCTCAGGGTGGTCAAATGGTGGTTAGATCAAAAGAAAATCGGAACGGTCATAAAAAACTTAATTACTTTTCCAGACTTGTAAAAAACATGTCTACCCCCGCATACCTACGTACCAACGCACCAAGTCGCCCTGTCGCCCATTAAAAAACACGAACCTACCGAGACTTCGTTTCGTCTCAAAACCTGACTTAACGGTGGTTGAAAGAAAATTCCGACCCTTAAATATATTTTTGTTTTCGCTGACCCTCGCTATAAGCGAATAGTTACAACCATTAATCTTTCATACATAGCAAGGGACGGTTCGCAGGACATGTGGAAACAAAATTTTTTAATTTGATCAAAGAATGACCGGGCGTACGAAATGTGAACATAGTTCATGTACAGCTGTAGTCTAATGAAAAAAGCCGAGAGCCGTGACTAATTACAGCACCAGCTGTCGCCACACTTAACGCGGAGAGGGACTTAATGGCTTCGATTAATTACCTGTTGTGATCGCTTCAGTGAGCCCGCTATTAAGCAACCACGGGGAGCGCCGGGGAGGATCCCGGGCGGATCGATAAGTACAAGCTGTCACTAATAAGTAACAGCTGTGGTTAAATGGATGTTATACACAATGACACTTTCTAGTACACGCTAGTGTTAGTCTTTTATTTTAAACGGCGTACAACAAAGAAATTAAAAGCAAACTAATTAAAATGAATTTCAAACAAATAAATTATACAAAGTAATTAAATTAACCAACAAGTAAACAACAATTAAAAATAAAATTTAAAAATAATAATTTAAAAAATTTAAAAATTTAAAAAATTAGATTTTTAAAACTTGAAGTTTATAATCTTAAGCAAATTTACCACCACCACCACCACCACCACCACCACCACCACCCGCTTGGTAACATCTGTCGCCACACTTAACGCTGGTTTTGCGTTAATTATCATGACCCGTCAAATCGTCAAAACTCGGTGAAGCATAACAAAATTTAATTAGGTGGGACATCATGCTGTGATGGCCCGTGGGTGGGATCAATATAAAACCCATTAATCACTACGAGGCGCGTGTCATGGTAACAGGTGTTCCCACACTTAACGCTGGCTTTGTGGTTAACCACTTAGCTCTTTCAATTAAACGCGGAACCCCTGCTGTGATCGGGTCGGCGAACAACGCATAAAATCGGTGAAGCATAACCAATTTAATTATATGGGACAACATTTGATGGCCCAGCGGCTGCGATCGATACAATACCCATTAAAAACGCTCAGCGCGTGTCAACAAAGGATCCCGGCTCGATAAGTAACAGATGTTACATGTCTGGTTAAAGGCTGGTATACAAAGACTGTTCTAGTACATGATAGTGTTAGTCTTTTATTTAAAACATACATACAACCAAATAAACAAACCAACAAATTAAACAACAAAGAAAAGAAATATATCAAATAAATAAATTAAACAAAAGTAATTAAAATCAAATTACGTAACTAGTTAATAATAATTTAACTAATTATAAAATAAAATAAAATTAAAAATAAACAAAATAAAAATAATTAAAAAGTAAACAAATAATCAAATTACGTAACTCGTCAATAAAAATTACAAAACAAAATAAACAAATAAACAAATAATCAAATTACGTAACTAGATACAAAATAAATAAAAATCAAATTAATTAAACTTATTAAAAATAAAATTACGTAACTAGATACAAAATAAAAATAATTAACAAATACAAAATAAATAAAAAATCGAATTAATTAAACTTATTAAAAATAAACAAACAAAACACAAACAAAGTAATTAAAATCAAATTAATTAAAAAACAATAAAATTACGTAACTAGGTCAAAAATTAATTAAAATTTAAAAAACTCATTAAAACTAATTAAAAAACGCATTAAATTTACGTAACTAGGTCAATGATTACGTCATAATGTTACTAATTACGTCACAAGGTCACCGGTGGTGACCTACTGACCTACTCCCCATCCTGCTCACCCACCCTAGGGTGGGTGAGTATTTTACTATATCTCGTTGTACATCCTGCTCACCCACCCTCACCCACCTGCTCACCCAGGTGGGTGAGTATTTTACTATATCTCATTGTACATCCTGCTCACCCACCCTCACCCAGGTGGGTGAGTATTTTACTATATGTCGGTGTACCTCCTGCTCACCCAGGGAGTATTTTACTATATCTCGTTGTCCCAGGCTGCGGCAGGCTGCGCCTGGAGGGTGAGTATTTTGTTATATGTCATTGTCCCTGCGGCTCACCCAGGCAGGGAGTATTTTCCTATATAGCCTTTGTTCCTGCTCCTGCTCCTGCTCCTGCTCACCCAGCGCCTGCGCCTGCGGATACGACCCAAAAGTGACCTAATATACTACTCTTCAACCCATCAAATCGATACCCACCCTCAACTCATCAAATCGATACACTCAACTCATCAAATCGATACCTTCAACTCATGAAATCGATACCCACCTTTAACTCATCAGCTTCGATATAACCACTGTGGTCAGCGTCGTACTTCCGCCATGTCTGCAATAATCGCAAGAATTTATGGTCAGATTTCTTTAGTGTCAAATCTAGTTATGGTCAGATTTTTTTTGGTGTCAAATCTAGTTATGGTCAGATATTTTTAGTGTCAAATCTAGATATGGTCAGATTTTTAAAGTGTCAAATCTAGTTATGGTCAGATTTTTAAAGTGTCAAATCTAGTTTTAAATGTGCTAAATGCGCTCTATTGAAATACACTTCATACAACACTGCCAGTATGAATAGATGTGTGTCGTGTTAAATTTAAAACATTCAAATCTACCTCATCTCGAGCATACCCAGGGTGCCGAGGATAAAGATTAAACCCGGATTAGATGTATCACGTGATGATGTCTTAAAAAAATAGAAACAGATTACCAAGATCTACCTGGTCGTGAATAACGGGATATTGTTGATCCAGTACCCACTACAGTATGTCCGTGATCTAAAAATACATGTGACCTACATTTGGACATAGACTATGACCCGCCCTGTCAGAGTGACATTTGACCCACCCAGTCAGATTTACCAATGACACACCGTGTTGAAGTGACATATGAGCCATCTGGATGACATGTACTACGATTATACATGTTAGACTGAGCTATGTTTATCACTACCTTTTTTAAAATGACCCATGACCCCCAGAGCTATGGCGACCTACGACCCAGCATGACAAGTCGTGCTATAGTGACCTAAGACCCATCTTTTAATAGTAACGTACGACCCACCGTACTATAATGACATACGAACAACTCTGTTATAGTGAACCAGCGTGCTATGGTGACCTTTGACCCATCATTTTATAGTGACCTTTTACCCAGGGTGCTAGAGTGACCTATAAACCAAAGTGCTATAGTCACCTATGATCCAGCTCGCTATAGTGATCTTTGACTCATAGTGACCTATAAACCAACGTACTATAGTGACCTATGAACCAGGGTTCTATGGTAACCTTTGACCCAGGGTGCTATAGTGACCTATGAATCAACGTACTATAGTGACCTATCAACCAAAGTGCTATAAAGACCTATGACCCAGTGTTCTATGATGACCTTTGACCCACCTTCATGAACTCCACACTGGACTCCAGCGGATGTTCTCGACGAAACAGCAGCAGAAAATTTTCCTCCATCGGCAACAGCTGGGCGAGCTGGGGGAACACAACGGGGGTGGGGTAGGTGGAGTAGAGTTGTATTACATGAGCCGGGTAGGTGGAGTAGAGTTGTATTACATGAGCCGGGTAGGTGGAGTAGAGTTTTGGCATTTTAACATGACAGGTGGAGTAGAGTTTTATAACCAGGTTAGCTGGAGACTGGATAGATGATGACTACCATATAATGTCAGCAACGCTTATTAGTAACGATGCGTGTACCATTTTAATTAAAGGCAATAATAGCATATATGCTATGAGTCGCCTGCTTATTTTGCTAATTTGAAAAAAAATCTATTTTAAGTTTTTATAACATTTAACTCGATCCAGTAGATCAATATTCTGAGTTTTTAAATTTGAATATAATTCTACCGCTCGGTATGTGTATGTGTGTTTTAAGTAAATTTGCTGATCTGGCATAATGTGATGTATTGCAGGACAAGTATAACAGGAGCATATTTCAAAATGCCACCAAGCATGACATACCCTCCCCACTAATCACCCATGCGAGACGGCAAACAATTACTGTTCTACGTTGCACATCTAAAAAAAAACGCCGTCTTTCGTTTGTCGTTATCAAATTAAAACCATTACAATTGATCGCTGAGTATCTGTTTTTTAAATGGATTTTTTTCCTCCTCATTGCAAAATAGATGTCATCATTGCAAAGGGCGGCTACTCCAGACACATCTTCGATGGTCGGGTTAATTTTGTAAATGGTTTTTTGTTGTTCTCATTTAGAGTGATGTCCCTTTGGCAGCAGAATAGTAGTCAAGGGAAAAAACTCCTGATCTGTTGAGTGAACTCATCAATACAAATCAATTTTAGCCGGCCGTGCCGTGGAATTTGTTTCATTTTGTCCACACAATTATCGCCCTTTTCAAGTCTGTGTCTTGCGATGGCGCCAGACGAACGTTGATTGGCAAATGGTAATTAAGTTTCGTAATTTAAAGAAAACAATGGCTGGGACGAGTTATGTTGCCACGTCGAATACCTCGCCAAGATCTAGAGTGCACTAATTAGGTACTTAAAGTTGACAATCGATGCTGTCGTGTTTTTATTTTACTGGCAGGTTTCAGTGGCCGTTGAAATTATTTTCTAAATACATGAATTCTCTATACTCATTAGGAGTGACAGAATAAAATGTCTGCAGACAAAGAGTCAACCTTTTATATTATGTACTTGAGTTGCCTTTTTTTGGATATATTTTGAAACATTTTACTTGCGTTTTGTTGTGACTGTAAAAATTAACGAAGAAAACGAGTCAACTATGAGTACGGCTTACGCTTCTATGTTTTTACTCAACCGCATTAAACAAGTCGTACAATGTAGCCACAAAGGAGTGATGATGATGATGATGACAATGTAGTATACATCAATTTTTATTATTACAAATCCAGTAGGCTTCGTGAATATACTACATTTTCTCATTCTTTAGGCTATCCCTTATCAACCCCACCCCACTCTTTCAACAAAACGGGAGTAGACTATTAGTGAGAGCCCATTACATCAACAACAGAGTCCGTCTAGTTGTTAGTAGAAAAATGTGTTAGTGTCGAATGTACACTGATCTAAAATTAATATTTAACGCAAATGTTGTGTATCACTAGCGTTGCCTGCTTTATAACGGCGACTGTAGATTCTATATGTAGGCATACTTTTCACACTTACACTTACACATTTGTTTTAATACGTAGACTTACACATTTCGCGATGTACAGACCTGTATGGTACGTGACACAGACAAACACATAAATACAACTACAAATCAGAAGTTTAAAAAAAATTGATTATATTATAACAAAGTAGATCTACGCTAATTAGTTGGCGATATACTGACAATATCAAAATAAATGAGACAGCCGTAAAAATAATAGTGTCTTCTTCATCGACTAGCACCCGTATTAATGTAACAATAGGCACGCCACTGTAACAAGGGACATCAGCCTGTGTAACAATAGACTGCGCCCCTGTAACAATGGTACAGAGCGTGCGTGACAAAGGACGAGAGCCCGTGTTACAATGGACTCATCAAATTTACACTGGACAACCAATGACCCACAGGGGCGGTAATACAAAGAGAGGGCAGACACCGTGTCAAGTACCTTTTGACTGCTGCCCAGTAGTGTGCGGGTGTGTGGGTGTGTGGGGGAGGGCGTGAAGAGGAAGTAAAATACTTTTTATTGATTGATTGGTGTCAGCTGGGGATAGATAATTAGGCCATATTTTTAATAATGCACTGCCTTTATTCATCTTTTCTGCGAGTTCTTTTGACCAGTGTCCGACTCTACCATACATAGCCGTGTGTTCTGTTGTTGGTAGTCTGGCATTATCAGGTACAGTGCCAGGAATAAGAGACTTAAGAGAATTAATGTCGTCACACATTTGGTCGACATTTTGAACCAACCCCCTCTCATCCTGCCGAATCATCAAAGATCAACACAAAAAGTTACACTCCCCCCCCCCCCTCTTGTAAAAGGACTTCCATCTATATCGTTCTGAACCCCTTCTCCCCACACTTAGCTATGTTCATAACTTTCAAACTGATTTCTTTGTATAATATGTACGGAGTTGAGTGAGAAATGTTTATATTCTCAAAAAAGTGTCTAAACATTCAAAAAATTAAAAATTCAGTTTTTAAAATATACAGCCTACGTTTTAAGATGGCAAAAATGCTTTGATGGGTACCAGACTAGTGGTAAGGAAACAAAGGTGGCTGGGCATAGTGCTGACCACACTATCCCTCATATGTAGAGGTCACTGAAACAGATGAACTCTACTTCATCTGCTCCATGTGATGTGGACGCGAAACGGGAAAGAAGATGATAAAAAGTGTGGGGTTACACCTCTCTTACCTTATATCCACATCGTCACACCGTAAAAAAAGTCAGATCCACAAAACTCTCTCATACCCGACATACAGTTACATATCAATGTGTAACTGCTACACCACAACCTTAACAGTTACATATACATGTGCATCTGTTACATCAAAACAATTACACTTACATATCAATGTGCAACTCTTACACCGACCAGCACCTTGTTTTTTATCGAATGAGCAGTGCACAACACGCCCACTCTTATCTCAGTGACAAGCACCCATAAAATTCAGATTCTCCTGTTGACTACTCACTCTGTCATGCACGCACATAATTCACTTTTCCTGTTGACAACTCACCAGTTCAAACACCCCCGTGTCACGAGTCTCTGCTCACCAGCCGCGCGTCATGGCCAAATATCACGTGATAATAATTAATGGCCGTCACTTGCCCAACATGTTTTCAATGAAATTAACATTCAACTAATTACGCTGGTTAACTGTGTGAAGATGGGAACTATTTCCTCAGGAATCAATACAGCGTAAAGGTCGTTAAAATAGACAATTACATGCACGTGAATGTACTCACACTGATACAAGAACACGCGCATGATGACGTTTAAGAAAGTCACGACATGACGGTAAACGTTTTCTTCCGTAAATTCTGTTTTTTGTATGTTAATTTGTTTCTTTGCTTAATTTTAATTTTAGTTAGGTGGATATTGTATGATTTAATATTTCCTTCCTAATATTTTGTTTTATTTCGGTATCGAGATTCACAGATTAAATAACATGTACGGAAAAACTTCAACCATAAGTGACTCTCAAGATACACAACTTTATATTTGATACAAACTTGTATTCGCTTAAACTCTGTATCAAATCACAACATATCCCGTGATCCATTGATATTTAAAATAATTTGCCCTATATGTGCTGGCGACTGTAGACCAACTTACATCGGTCACTGCTCTGGTCAAAGTTTAACAAAACAAAACCCACTAGTTAGGTTTAAGTTTTTTATCCCGTCTAGTTAAAAAATTAGGTGAATTCAACAGTTAGTCGCCATCTTCTCTGTAAACACGAATCTGACATTTCTAAACAGTGTAACTTGACGAACACGACGTTCCGACACTTCAGGCCCTCGGATAGAGTTTCGTGGTTACATTTAAATTATTTTAATGTCTGGATGATTAGTGATGATGAATAACCATGTTAATTAGGAAAATTAACACCGTTAGAAAGAAAGATGATCTGCGTGGTTTGATAGAATGAGAAATTATGTTTTCAAATTCTTCAAGGTGCTCATTAGTGATGTAAGATGTCGTGATGTTCAAAAATAGGCTCAACAAAGTGGCATAAGTCTAGACAGTATGTTCTTAGGCTGAGCAATATGTCTAGGCACTATGTTCTTAGGCTGAGCAATATGTCATATGTGTAGACAGTATGTTCTTGGGCTGAGCAATATATCTAGAGAGTATGTTCTTAGACCGAGCAATATGTCAATATGTCATATGTCATATGTTCTTAGCTTAAAATCAGTCTGTTCTCAAGTTAGTGAAGCTGTTGTAACGCAAGCTGTATGGTGATCTGAAGTTCTGTATGTGATGTTGTGACGCTATTTGTATAATGTAGTGTTAGCTTTGACGCTAAATGCACACAAATAACTAACTTTTAAATCAACCGATTGTCAACCATAAAAACAATTATTTATCCGAAATGCCTAAGTGTTTTATTCGTTTCGTCCTCTGTAATAATTGCTCTCCTCCATATGTGTTGATTATGTTACTCTATCAACCAGACAAAAAAAGTCAGGCAAATATTCCAAGCCCCATACAACAGTGTACGTTCTGATCTGTAGTATAAGCCTACGTTAAAAAAATATCGTAGAAAACGAATAGAGATCTGAGACTTGGCTTGTACGTGGAATCGATCAGTTGGCTGGCTTTTGAACCACGTGATGAATCCCGCGATCACGTGATGTGGATACGTGGCACTCGTTGGATGGTGCAAAAGGCGATACGGACGCTGAGTGTAGGCAGACTTTTTAAAAAAAAAAATTCCTTTTCCAGCTTTATCGGCTGTCAGAATTTTTTTTTTTTAAATTTACAATCCCAATATTTTTTTAAAAAAAGAAATTCGTCTTGTCAGATAAATATGTTAGAATAAGTTATGTCCACAGGGATTATTTATAGTGAGTCACCGACAGAAGGTATCGTCTTTAGCAGCAGGAGTCATGACGCCTAATCAGAGTCAGAAAGTGTAGCAGCCTGCATGTAATTGACGCTACTTTGGCTGACTCAAGAGTTTAAGTCATCGAGAGGAGATTCAACTACCACGTCATGATGTCGCTTATTTCATCGCACTAGGTCCATTTTACTGTAGCTACAAGATGCTGTTTGCAATAATTCGGCCTTTTCCACTTTTTAAAATATATTTTCCATGATGCCACTGCTCACTCCGCTGTATAAATTAGACGCGTGTATCTCATATGTGATGTTTTATAATGCATGAAAACCACTACTGCTACATTGTTAATGTTTGTTTCAATTGTAAGCCTTTGTAACTGAACCCTTAAACTAAATAGCTTTGTCGTTACTACAGAAATACAATGTCTTGCTCTATGAGGACTAATAGTTAACCGACATTTTCAATTGATTTTTTTCTCCGCTTATTTCAAGAGATTTCTGCCTTCGTTTGTTCAACTGTTGAGTTTTGTTTTTAAATCCTTTCCCAGCGTTTGTGTACAACACAACATTCAAGTTTTTAAAGTGATTTTCCAACGTGTGTGTACCATTCAACATCCAGATATTTAAAGTCATTTCCCAACGCTTGTGTACTTCTCAACATCCAAGTATTCACGTAAAAACATAGATACTCATACATTTAAACCCCAAACACAGCTACACATATTTAAGCCCCTGAATGCACATCAAACCTAGTTTCACACGGTAAAGCCCCTGAACGTACCTCAAACCCATGTACACACGTAAAGCCCCTGAATGTACCTAAAACAAGTTTCACATAGTTAAGCACCTAAATGTACCTCAAACTCATCTTCCAATGGTAGAGACCCTGAATGTACCCCAAACCAATCTACACATGGTAAAGTCCCTGAACGTATCTCAGTCATAGATCCACATAGTTAAGCCCCTGAATGCACCTCAAACCCATCTACACACGGTAAAGCCTCTGAACGTACCTCAGTCATAGCTCCACATAGTTAAGCCCCTGAATGTACCTCAAACCCATCTATACATGGTAAAGCCCCTGAACGTACCTCAAACCCATCTACACGGTAGAGCCCCTGAACGTACCTCAGCAATGTCGATCTTGCCATCCTTGTTCTCGTCAAAGGCACTGAGTATCGACGCCTTGGCCTCTTTGAGTGCCGCCTGCGAGACGACCTGTCAAGATAGAACCAGAACAAAATGTTAGTACATCTGTCATGTACACAAAATGTTAGCACAGCTGTGATGTACACAAAATGTTAGCACAACTGTCATGTACACACATGTTAGTACAGCTGTTATGTACACAAATGTTAGCACAGCTATCATGTACACAAATGTTAGCACAGCTGTTATGTACACAAATGTTAGTACAGCTATCATGTACACAAATGTTAGCACAGCTGTGATGTACACAAAATGTTAGCACAGCTGTCATGTACACAAATGTTAGTACAGCTATCATGTACACAAATGTTAGCACAGCTGTGATGTACACAAAATGTTAGTACAGCTGTCATGTACACATATAACATCTGTAAAACCGATGTCATCTAACGGTTCATGTGACTAAATGAGTGTGAAAACATACGTGTACAACTGTTAAAACATACGTGTACAACTGTTAAAACATACGTGTACAACTGTTAAAACATACGTGTACAACTGTTAAAACATACGTGTACAACTGTTAAAACATACGTGTACAACTGTTACATCCTTGTAAAACCAGTTGGTTAATAAAGCGAAGCTGTTAATTCAAATTAGAAAACGTATTTTGTACGTAAAGAAAACTATCCCCCAATTTAGGGAAAATCATACCCTAGTCACCAGTATACAAAAGTACTGATTCTTACTGTTTCAATCATAAGACTAAGTTTGTGCCCATTATGTACACCACATTTCATCGATTACATATAATAAAATAAAATGAGGACACCCCTTCCCCACCAATGAACCACCTTACACAGACACCATAGGTACCCTACTGAATACCCCAACAAAAAATCACCTACCATCTACTTAAAGTCATGTTTTGACCCAGATTTCAATTTTGTAAAACCTTAATTAGTCTAGATCAAACTAACCCAGAATAATCTATATATATAATTCTCTTCTTCGAGCCGTTAGAAAACAAGCTGCAAACGCTCTCCCTACCTCCCCACCCCTACATGGTTTTAGTGAGCTGTGTTCACTCTAAATGTTTACAAGCAGAGCCAACGATTTTAAACGTAGGGGGGGGGGGGGGGAGGAGGGGGGGGGAGGGAAGGAAGGGGGGGGGGTTATGGTCCTTAACGAGCTACTTATAGTGTTTTAAAGAAATATTTTCAGTGTCAGCGTTGGTACTGTCGAATTCACAAATTATGAATTATTGAAAATTAGAAACAACTAAATAGCGGCGTATGTTATGCCGCGGTCCGGCTCGTAATTAAGTAAAAAAGACCCTTCACTCAACCTGTCAAAATTTGAAAACGCCAATTAGTTCCCCCCCCCCCCTCCCCGTGCCTACCATTACAGTCCTACCCTAACGTCCCCGTACCTACATTGATTCTAAACTTAGAATCAACCCTCTAAGTCTCTAATTAATGTAGCCATAACGGGAAAATAAAGTTACATTCAAGTAGCATCACTAATGGCTTCCCGACTACTGAGTTCTTCTCAGTGGGTGTTGGTAAACATTGAACTATTGAGGAAGTGGAGGGTAGTGAAGAGGGGGTTGGTATCACAATGTTGTTGGCATTAATGTATGGACGGATGTCTTTTATCAATGTCAAAAAATAAAATCTGGTGTGGCTTTTTTTTAATTACGGGGTTCGCGATAATTCCTTGAAGTCTCGTGCACAGCGTGTTGAGTGTCTTAAATTAGGGCATACACGTGATTTTGATTAATTAACTTTTTCTTGTTAATTTAATTTTTTTTATAATTTATATTCGATTGCAATGTAAAAATGAATGATTTATTAATGGAATTAAAAAAAAAACCGCCGTGGTAATTATTTCAGTTAAATAAATGAAAAATAAATCTATGGCTCATCATGCACATTTCTGCAGTATTAAAAATTCTCTTAAATTAAGCATGCATGGGGGTAAGTGTATAATTAATTAGCTGAGATTGGTTTGTTTATTTTAAGTGAATAATTACAGGGAGGCAACAGCGGAAGTCTGTACAGGGTTATCGAACTTACGCTGGCTGCGATTCAATAAGTTAATATTTTTAACTTGGGTTGTTTATGTTGTGTTTGGTACAAAAGCCAGGATACCACATCAACCATAAAACACGACCACATTAGCAACCATCTTTACCCACACTAAGAACCAAATAGTACCACACCATCAACCACCTTCTACCACACCACCAACCACCCTCTACCACACCATCAACTACCCTCTACCACACCATCAACCAGCCTCTACCGCACCATCAACCACCCTCTACCGCACCATAAGCTACCCTCTACCACACCATCGACTACCCTCTACCACACCATCAACCACCCTCTACCACACCATTAACCACCCTCTACCACACCATCAATCACCCTCTACCATACAATCAACTACCCTCTACCACACCATCAACTACCCTCTACCACACCATCAACCAGCCTCTACCGCACCATCAACCACCCTCTACCGCACCATAAGCTACCCTCTACCACACCATCGACTACCCTCTACTACACCATCAACCACCCTCTACCACACCATTAACCACCCTCTACCACACCATCAATCACCCTCTACCATACAATCAACTACCCTCTACCACACCATCAGCCACCCTCTACCATACAATCAACTACCCTCTACCATACAATCAACTACCCTCTACCATACAATCAACTACCCTCTACCATACCATCAACTACCCTCTACCACACCATCTACCATACCATCAACTACCCTCTACCACACCATCTACCATACCATCAACTACCATCTACCACACCATCAACCAGCCTCTACCACTACAACAACGACGATTAACGTGAATTGCTAAACATGGTGTGCATGTGTAGACGGAGCGTATACCTATCCCTTCAGCCCTGCAGTTTATTAACGTCTAGTTTCAACCATCGAGTCCCGTCACTTTTAGCTTGCTACCACATTTCATAACACGGCTTAAATTCAGTTTTAAACCAGGATAATGACATAAGTAAATATCGACACAAAATTTGAATAATGTTAGGTCTATAACACACACACACCATAAAGTGGCGCTGTCGACGTCACAGATCCCAATTTAAAGCAATTAGCCTATTTTATAACAATTAAGATGTCACATTTTAATTGTGTTTGCACTGCTTTAAAGCATCTAATTGTGTCATTTTAAAATATTTTTTCGAAAATATTTGTATTCATTAAATACAATGCGATTAAGAAAGCAAACAAACTACAAATTCTCATACTGCAAAAGACGGAATTTTCTTGAAGAAATCAATGACAGCCAAGCCGGCAATATGCCAGCAGAACATCTTTTCAAGAGTTCTAAACTCGTGGGCGGAACTTGAAAAAAAAATTCTGGTTTAACCTCGAATCGATAAAGCGCTTAAAATCTGAGATCTTTTAAAGATTTATGCCAGGAATTTTTTTTTAAAATCTGGCTTGCAGACTGTCATGTGATATTTCTGCTACTTTCTACATCCGCGAGATGAAATTGAATTGTATATGACTTATTTGATGTTGTTATTTAGACGTGAGCTCTATTTTCTCACAGTAATCACGTGCACCGACATGTGAGCAGACTAAACTACAGACGACACACACTTGCAGGTAGTACTCGCATATCGAGCAAGTTTATAAAATGGTTCTTCAATATAATTCGTTCTTTCCCTGATAGAGGACCATGGTTTGAGTAACCCACATTTCATGACAAACAATAATCTTACTCATCATACAAGAAACAGTTACTATTTGCACACTGAAAGCATAACACACGTTTTATCAACATCTTTAACTGCATCCATTCTTCTAGGGTTACTTATAGAGGGACATATATATGGACAGATTTCTATTAAAGGACGGCGGACTCTGGAGGGCTGTAGTTGGTTGCCCACGTTTCAGCCTTACAGAGAACTCTGCAACTCTAGCACCGCAAAGATCAATGTGGTCCAATAAATGTGGTCCAATAAATGTGGTCCAATAGATGTGGTCCAATAAATGTGGTCCAATAGATGTGCTTACATAATGTGGTCTTGTTCTATTGTTATCTAGTGCTTACATGAGTCTTGTTATAAGACTCTCATTATGTAAGCACTTGCTGACTTGAAAATAATGATAGCCCTTTGACAGGGGCAACGGGATAACTCTTTCAATAAGGGGCCGTAACTGATGATATTTGCACTTTGGGAGGTTTTGGCTTGCTCGTTGATGTTTGACCTTAGCTAAGGGTGCAGGGAAACGTTAATATCGTGGAACCGTTTGATACTGTGTACCATTTGTTGTGTGTTGTGGTTTTATAATGGTGGACAGTGGTACAGCTATCTGTTTGTATATTACATTTTTGTTGGTTTTGGTAAGTTTGGTAAGCGTGTGCCTCTTCCTAAATATTAGTAAAGTTATCCAATAGACAATATAGTGCCACACGCTTTTCTTTATAGTTATTTAAATAGTAGTGTATTATTATATCTATAAAAATATAATTTAGTTTCTAATTTGACGTTAACAAACGACGGATGAAAAGTGTTCCAGCTTAAATCAATCGAAAAACAAATTATATTGCATTAATATTTAAGCAGTGTGATCTAATACCTCGAAATAAATAAGCGTATCTTTAGTTTTATAGGTCGGTTTCTGTTTAATTGTTTCGTGTTACTAATAATTTATTTTAACGTACAACAAAATATGTGAGACATTTTAAGAATGATATAACGTTACACACTATATACTGCGTCATAAAAGGTATGTTTCAGGTATGTTTCAGGTATATTTCAGGTATGTTTCAGGTATGGTTCAGGTATGTTTCAGGTATGTTTTAGTTATGTTTCAGGTATGTTTCAGGTATCGTTCAGGTATGAACAACACGCTAACAAAAGTGAACTCATGCTCCTGAAGACCAACCTTATGTTTAAAAACCAACCAATGTCAACTACCACGAGATTATGGAGTCGCACACTACCTCTCTATATCGCTACTGACACAACAAAATACAGAAAATCAAAGACACTGACATCAAA